TTGGGGGTATCCTTGCCTTGAGAGGGGTAGTATACTTTCTCTTTTATGAGGGAACCTGAATCTTTTGCATCTACGGAGTTCCACCACTTTGAAAACAGGCCCTAAAACGTGAAGGATGAAAGCTGAGCATTTCAGCCTTTCACATCTTTATTTAACATTTCCCGTAGCACGATATTTCTTATCACAGTGATTGAACAACCTGGGAGCACCTGATCGGAATGACCTTTGGAGGCAGTTGTCATTCTGCAAACCACGATGATTCTCAGCCTTCTCCATATGACTTTCGTAGACTCCAGTTGCTTCTTTATAAAATTTATTACAAAATTGCTTTTGAGACTGCTACTAGTTGTCATTCACATGTTACTAAGTGTCTTTTACGTAAGTGCCTGGCCCCGCCACTTCGCTGCACTAGGTGAGGTAAGCCAAGGAACTCTCCAAGAGTACCAGGGGTGGAGGATGAAGTTTTCCAGTGAAAAATACAGCGATTTTGCAACTTCAGAAATACCATTGGCCAGAAATTGCCCTTGGGAGTGGTTTGTCTGGCATGGAATATCCTATTTTGCAGCATGACCTTAGGATATAATTTGGTAATGAGATCATTTGGCAACCTTGAGCTTTAATACAGTGAAATTAAATAATTGAATTGGCTGCGGTTTTCAACCTACCCTTCGTCTTCCAAAGTGGGCTTTCGCCAAGATTATGAATACACACTCGAGCTTTCAAGACTCCTATTGTGTAATTATAAATTGAATAATATGAAAGGACAACTCTCCTTAGCAGCACAGAGTGTCTTTATACGAACACGTGGAAGTTCCTTCACTGGGGCTGACGTTCCCTCTCGGGCCCAGTGCAGCCCAGCATTTCCACCATCACGGCGGCCAGCGTTTCGCACCACTTGCTTTTCTTTTATTTTTTTTTTAATTGAATTTATTGGGTAACATTGGTTAATCAAATTATACAGGTTTCAGGTGTACGATCTCACCATTTGTTTTTAACTCGGAAGGCATGGAAGGCATCCACTGCATTGATCATTTATGCTGACAGTAAAGACGCCTTCTCTGTGTGACGGCTTGACTTTTCCAACCGTATTAGAAGTTCCTGGACAAGTAAGGAGTGGTGTTTGACCTCTCCTTTGGATACTTTGAAACGTCAGTGTCCGGGACTACATACCTACCAGGGGCTCAGTCAGCACCTGTTGGCTGCATGATTGAAAAGTGTTACAGGCAGGCTTCAGGGATGTTCTGGGTTCAATTCTGGACCATTGCAATAAAGCAAGTATTGCAATAAAGCAAGTGGTAATCTTTTTGCTGGTGGAGGTTCTTGCCTTCAATTTGTTGGGGGGGGGGGGGAACAAAAAGCCCTGGCTGGGTAGCTCAGCTGGTTAGAGCATTGTCCAGATAACCTAGGGTTGTGGGTTCCACCCATGGTCAGGGCGCAATAAGCAGAACAAATCAGTCTCTCTCCATCTCTCTCTCAAATTTAATTGAATAATTTTTTCGTTTTAGAGAATATTATTCCCTTAAAACAAATTTAAGAGAATAAAATATATTTAAAAAACAAAAAAACGACATCTGCGACATGCAATAAAATGAGGTACGCTTGTATTGATCAGCTCAAGTGTAAGTGCGTCCCTGAGTCCACTGTCTCTTCTTAGAGTCCCAGGGTTTACGTCGACGTACACATATAAATAGGAATTCCACCCCACATGCTGCGGTTCCAAAGTCCAAGAGATAGAGCAGGAGCGGGAGTATTAAATGTCTCATCTAATGAGAAGACCGACCTTAAGGGGCAATAAACAAGAACAAAACATTTTTTAGGTTTGGCACTTTTTGGTTTTTCATTTTACTATTGAAATAGATCATTTTCAAATCTGTTTCTAAATACGAAACAGGGAAACTGATCAATCAGTAGGAGAAAGTTGCCAGCCAATCTCCCATCTTAAAATGGTCGGGTCGACCTTTTACTCAGAGCTCCTGGGTCCTGTCCCCACACACCCCCTCTCCCCAGATTCTTACCCACTGAGATTTGCCATAGTGCCATTCACACAATGTGTAGCTAGTAATTACATTATATGTTCTACACAAAGCTACAACAAATTTGTTTTTTCCTAATGCGGTACCTTTTTGAAAATGTTTGCAGATGTAAGCTTATATACCTGAACAGGAGGAGACCTGGGTGGAACCAGAGTGGAAAAAGGTGTTTGAAATTGAGTCTCGTGAGTGCATTGTGGTGTTGCTGGTGTTCACAGTCTGGGGGATGAGGGGGTTAGGTGGCAAATGTCTTGCAAGTGGGGACCTCATCATTTCTTCCATGCTAACAATGTGCAGTGCGTCATATCTGCCTAGGGTTATCAACCATGACATCCACCATGGAGGACGGCTTCTTCAGTCAAGGTGCCTTCCCTCACATGGCTGAGGGGTCCCTTCTCAAACCCACTTGGTCCAGAAGCTCTCTGTCACTTCAAATGAATGAAACGAACAGCAATGAGGGAGCCAGGGTGGGGCCTCCAGGTGCTGAAAGGTATGCTGCCCCACATGGTGAGCAGGTCCCCTGCCTTGGCACAGCCTGAGTCACTTCCTTCACATGACCAGCACCGTCAGAACGTTGCCTTCCAGGTGGCCCTGCTTCAGGTCAGAGCTGGTGACTCAATGGGCGGAGACCTTCCTTACCCCCAGGTGGACACACTGGCCGGTGTGCTGTGAAGGCTTTCATATTACGCATTTCCTTTAAGATGGTCTGAGTGCATAGATTTGGTCCTGGGCGGGCCAGACGCGAGACCCTGTTGCGAACTAAATCCACAAGTGCCACCTCCTGACCTGCTGTTCCTTCTCGTCGTGAATGAGAAGGCACATGATATCAGTATGACTTATTATTGCTAATGAAGGAGAGATGTTCGATTGTTTGGTTCATACTCGGCATTTAAAACAGACTGGCTCCTGGTGGTATTCAGTGTCTGAATGGACTTGTTTTTCCCTAGTATGTGTCTGTGCCGTCCACCAAAGTGTAAACTCATTAATGGCAAAGGCTGCATCTTACTCATCTTCATAATTTGCTAATGCTTAGTGGCCTTGGATCTAGTGGGTGTTCAGTGAATGTTTAGGGATTGAACTGAAAGGTAAATTGGAGTCTGATTGTATGTCCAGGCAAAATCAAGTTTATGTGATAATCAAGGAGCCAGCAACTTATTTAAGCAGCTCAGTTAAGTGGTTTAATATTTATTAAATGTCTATTATATAAACTGTCTAAGGGCAGGAGTCGGCATTTTCTCTAACTGGAAGGGGCCGCGGGGTGAAAAGGAGCACTAGTAAATGGAGGCGGAGGGAGGGCTTTGGGCTTTGAGTTCTCAGTCTGAGTGACAGAGATGCACTATGATATCATTCTGAGGACAGACTGAAGAACAAAGCTGTGAGGTGGAAGATAATTAATTTGGCTCCGAATGTGGGGGAAAACCCTGTGGTTTTCGCAGACCTCTGGAGTTGGCAGTACATGCAGGGCAAGAGACAGACAGGATGGGCACAAGGGTCTAGATTTGAAGCCGCTTTTGGTCTGCTATCTGAAGGCTTACCCAGGCAGGGGATTAGGTGAGCAGAGATGCAGTGGTGAGGGAGAAGACAGCACCTGCCTCGAGGAAATTCTGCCGGTAGAGAGGAGTGTGAAGGGGAGACCATGAAGGAGATAAAGGCTACAGGATGCTATGCAAGTGAGATTTTGAAATTTAGGTTGTTGGCAGCACCAAACATGAAGGGAAAGCAAAGCGCTTTGATTACTTAGGAGGTGGCAGGTGATTGGAAAGAATCAGGGGACGAGTGGGAAATTAAATGCTGAAGTGGTTAAACATCTATTCCCTTTCCTCTTAGCTTATGCAGACAGGGAAGAAACTTTCCTCTACCCTCAAGGTTCTTTGGGGCTGGTCTAATAACCGAATAGACATGAGGCCAATTAGCAAGAGAAAATAACCAAATTTACTACACACATATGTATGGAAACCCTGCACACTTGAGTCAGAGACTCCCAACCCCCATGCACCGGAGGTTCAGAGATAGAAAAGGGAACGTGAGTTTGTGGGACGTTCTGAGCTAGGGATGAGGCAGTTGTCTTGGGGGATGCAAAGAGTCAGTGCAGGATGGTAAGAACAGGCCCCTAGTTCGAGTTCTTCCAGATAGTTAAGGGAAGGGCGGAGGTTTCCCTTGAGCCTGCGATCGAATACCTTTAGCTCAGTCTGCACACCAGAGACACCTCTTGGGGTGCCTGGTTTTGAACCCGCACACTTAACGACGAAAGGACGAAGAAAAAAAGGGTTGTGACTGCAAACAACAGAAAGGCGGAGGCGAGGTCTCAGCTCTGCCCTCACCCCTCGTTTGTGTGATCTCATATAAGGCGCTTAACCTGTCCAGCCATCAACCTTGCTGTTCCATAAACCGCATCCGATCTGGCAGTTTCACAAGACTGGGGTTCGCCAGGCTGCGGGCTCCTGAGGGCAGCGGCCTACACACACTCTTGAGGTCAAGGCCTGCAGCACCGCGACGACAATCATTTGAAACATGCTTATGGGATGAAGCGCTACTCGGATCCTAACGCTCGCCCGGCGATGTGCTCTGCGCCCTGCTGAGCACGCCTCGCCTTCTCCACCGCCCTGCAATCGCCCCCGTCTGGCAGCCGAGGAGACAGCATAACCGAGGCAGGCAAGGGGGCCGAAGCCCACGACCCGCGGGCCTCGGAGACGGGCCGCCTGTTTTCAACTCAGCACTTTACAGTCACAGAACAGAATCCAAGAGTGAAAAGAGCCAGAGTCAATAAATTCATCTTAAAAGCATAAAACTTCCGTAAAAAAATAAGAAAACTGTTCTCAGCCAGAGGCAGTGCCCCGGCAGCCAGGCGCGGGCCGCAGCGCCCCAACCCTCGGCGGGGTCCGGGAATTCCTCTCCCAGCCTCGCGATGCTCCCGGCGGCAGCAAGGCCCGGAAGGCTGAGACCTGGATGGTGCGCGTGCTGATGACGAAGGCGGAAGTGTGCGATCGGGGGCGGGACGAGAGCCCGGAGGGGCTGTGGATTGCGGAAGTTTTTTGCGGAGGGTCTGGAGGCTTTTAGAGCTCCGTGTGATTTTGGAACACGTTCCGGAAGGGAGGCTGCTGCTAGAGGTCCGAGAGCCACCGGCCTGCGCGCGTTTGGGGGTACCCCAGGCGCGACTCGACGTCGCCGCTGTTGGTTCTGCGCCCCCGTTCCTCCTCGAAGAACCGCTTCGGGGCTCCGCCATGGCATCCACCTCGTCTAACCTTCAGGTATCACCGTTGCCCCTCCGCCAGGAGAGTCTGAGCCGATGGGAGGCCCGGGGCGGGGAGGTGGGTGGGAGCGGCCGCGCCCCCGGGGTCGGGCGGGCGAGGGCGGGGTCCAGCCGCGGGTGGGCGCGTCCTGTGCCATTCTCCCGATTCCGGGGCCTCCGATCCCATTGGCTTTCTGAGATCTTGACTTCGGTGGAGGCTTTTCTTCTTTTCCTTCACACCAGCCGAATTTGAAACGAACTGGTCAGATCTGTGACGAGACCCTTCAGTCAGTGTGAGAGAGCGGAAAGCAAGTAACGTTGCAAAGCACCGCTCTGGACCAGTTGAAAATAGGCTGGTCCCAGTTCTTGCCTAGTCCCTCGGGCTGGTACGGCAAGCCCCTCTCGAGCTGTCAAGTGAGTGGAAGCGCGAGGACAGCCTTGGACTCTGGAATCCGTGGGTTCATTGATCATACAGATGGGTGTGCACACACTCACTCCTCTTAGGCTCCCAAAATTTAATGTGTAAGATCAGGGAATGTTTTTTAACTTTCTCTGTGGCTCCATCTCCCTGCTACCACCGCAGTCAGCACACTATTTTGTACACAGGCCATGGAGTTCTAAAATTTTAGACTTAATTGTTAGACTTCTGTGGACTGGACATTGAGAAATTTCCGAAAGTATCTCCCATCCCCGGAATGGATCTGGGGCTTCATTGGGGTTTAGAATGTGACTTGGGGTTCAGTGGGGTTTAAAATGTGACTTGACACCGAGCCCATTGGGTCAGTTCAGACTAAAGAGTAAAGGGAGATACCTGTGAAGGTTCCTTGTCTTGGCCTTGCAGTAGTTGATCGAATGGGCATTTGTGTAGCACCTGGTATCAGCACCAAGGATAATAAGGACCTGCTTCTCAGGACCATTGATCCTGAAGGAGACTTCTGAGAGTAGACCCATTTAAATCTTTCCAACAAGATTGCATTAAACCAAAATACAACAGTCTTCACTTAATGATAGTTTTTTGTAGCCCCATTCAGAAAGGCTGTTTTGGTAAATGTACTTGGAAAAGTTATTGGTGATTTGATAGAGGTATTGTTCTTTGAATATTGAAGGTGGTTTCTTTTGAAATGCCCATCTCATCATTATCCTTTTCGGTTTGTCAGTTAACTAGTTTTATTCCACCAGCTCTTCGTTTGTCAGACTTCGCCAGACTTCGCATGTGACAACATGATTTTAATCCATTTATTGATACAGTTTCTCTTTTGGAAGATTTTGCAGTTTTGTTTTACAGTCAGTTTGCATTATATTTGAACTGGATTACTGGGTATTCTTGACTCAGCTAGAGGTTGACCCGCATTAAAAGCATAGTTTCTACTGTTAAACAGGGAGAGATACTGAGTTATAATTCTGTTAGTGGTTGATTCACAGATGTATGTTCTCATTCCACCTTTTCAACTTTTGAACCTAGGAAACATGGATGACAAATACTCAGATAATGAATACTTTCCCACCAAACGAGGCAAAAAATCCCTGTATCCAGATACTTGTAATCTAATGGAGGGATGCAGATAACTAAAGATTATAAAATAATACAATAAATAATAGAGTTAGAGGTTATTGGGGGGTCGCAGGAAGGAGGGTCTGTCTGACTCTCCCAGGAGTAATGAGAAACATTCCACAGAGGAAGGATTGTGAGCTTAGTTTATCCAGTGAAAGGTACTGACACTAGTTGTCCCCCTGTTATTCAATGTGATTTCATTGAATCCTCAAAACAGCTCTTTAAGGTGAATATGATTCCAATTTTGCAGTGAGAAATTGAAGCTTATTAAGGTTAGATTTTCTCATAGACATATAGTTAGTTATTGTGGAAGACAGTTTTGAATCTAGGTCTTTGTGCTTACAACTTTTGCTCTTTTCGCTGCAAGATTATGCATCCTTGGACAAGAAAGTGGGACTCATTCCAGGCGGAGAAAAACAACATACACCCAATTTAGAAGTGTAATAAACCTTGCAGAGGGTTGGGAGAAATTGCAAGTGATGCAGTATGCATAAAACTTACAGCTTACTCAGAACTGGATTTTTTGGAGTGTCTACTATGCCATGCATCTTGCTAAGTCTTGGGGAATCATAAAAGAAATAATGGTATTCTTGATGTCCAAGGGAGTATATTTTGGTGTGAAAGCAGACATGTGGAGTGGCCAAAAGGACACTTTGTGATCACTGGGAGTGTGTCCAGGGGCAGTGGAAATCTAGACGAGACACCAGACTAGGCCCTGTGAGGGTGCTGGGAAGCGCTTGGCAGCAGGAGGACCAGGACAGCGCTGGCCCTGCAGCAGCTGGAGCTTTATGGGTGGACAGTGGGAGCGGGTGTTCCAGGTGGAGGGGACACTGAGGCATGAAGTCTGACTTGCGGGGTTGTCCCCGTAGTTTGGTGTGGCAGGAACTGAGCGTGCAAGGTGGGGAGACGAGCTGGGGAGGCCATATCACAGACATGACTGGTTCTCCTCCAGGTCTGGGTGGGAGTCCCAGACGGTAATGTGCCTGGGTTTTTGTTTTAGAACGAAACTACCACATGTTCAGGGAACAGCTTGCCTGGTTGCCAGGCTGGAGCAGGGAGACCAGGTAGACAGGGTTCTGTGTGATGGGAGACGGTGAGGCTCAAAGTAGAACCATCCCCGTCAAAACGAAGAAGAAAGGAGTAATCAGACCCCAACTGAAGAGGACAACGAATAGTCAGGCTTGCATCTGCATTTAGAGAGTGAGGGAGGAGGGGCAGTCTGGCTGCCCTTTTGGATTCCTGGATTGGATATCTGAGCGGGTAGGAACTGGTTCTGGGATTACGAGACGAGGGGCATATTTGGGGCCAGGGTGGTCCTGAACTTCCGGAGTTTGCCTTGCCTGTGGGGACAGCTGAGAGGTGTCCAGTGAGCAGCTGGGTGCGTATGTGCAGGACCAGGGAGAGAGGGAATCTGAGAGTTACTAGCATGCAGATGGTAGCAGCGGTTGTGTGCATCTTTATAGAAGGAAGAAAAACAAGGGACAGGGTGGAAACCCTGGGGATTAAGGGGCGTTTAAGGAGAGACTAAAGGAGTCTGAGAAAGGACCATTACATAGTCGGGAGTGAAGCCAGGAGAGAATGGCGCCGTGAGGGCCAGAGCAGGTGGCATGTCCTGGGGTCAGTTATTACTGCGAAGAGGGAGGTCAGTGACCAAGAGGTTGGGCACTCAGGGAGCAGGCGGAATCGAGGAACTGGGTTGGAGCTGGGCTTCCCTTTGGGGCTTTGCAGTGGACGTGAAAAGGTAGTAAGGTGGAGGGGAACCCAGGCCCTGGGGAGCTGTGTGTTTGGCTTGTGTGTAGACAGCAGTCTAAGGCAGGGTTTGTACACCTTTTTATGCGGAGGGAGGCCCCACCAGTGGGGAAAGCTTCGGTGGGGGGAACAGCAGAGTGGCTTTGGTGGGTGGCTTCCCTCCCCAAAGGGAAGGTGGGGATGGGCTCAAGAGCATGGGGAAAAGAATTGGCTTTGACGGACAAGGGTTGGGGCATCTTTCCTCCTGAGAGAGGTGATTCTAGAATTTCCCGGTTTCCCAGGGTTTTCTGGTGTTGACATGGCACAGTCTCCTAATCTAAAAAGAACAGTCCTGGATGTTCCCAACCCTTCCCCTTCGGTGTTGATGACTAGATCCTGACTCAGCCTGGGGTCAGGTATTCATGCAGTCTGGTGCCAGCCTCTGTGCTAGGCTCTGGAATATGAAGGAGTGGATCCAGCAGGCATAACTCCATCCTCATGGCGTTTCCGTTCCAGTGGAAGAAGGCAGGCGGAAAGGATGCACCCCCCACCCACACACAACAGGAACGAGCTGCTGGAAGGGTGTTAAATGGAAGAGTGAAGGTTTTAAAATTGAATAAACTTAGGATCATCAGCATAAAGATAATCAGCTTAAATAATCAAAACTAGATTACAGAGGGATTGATCAGAAAGAAGTAACCCTCCCCCCCAAACCCTGAAGAACCCTAGCAGTTCAGCACCCGGTGCCAGAGGAAGAATTGGCAAAGCAGACTGAGCGGGAGCAGCAGAGAAGCGGAGGTGGAGAAAGACGGTGCTCGGAGCTCGGCAGGGGCAGGTGTTGGAGGTGGCACAGAATGTCGTCAAAGGATCACGATGAAATGGGCGCTGGCCTTTGGATCGGGCAGCGCAGAGAACACCGGTCTGAGCCGCTGTGTTGAAGTGATGAGGGACGGAAGCCCAGACTGAAGGGCAAGTGGTGGGGAGAGGCACTGGAAGGGGCTGGCTCTGAAAGTTTGCAGAGAAACAGCGCTAAGCCAAAGGGCGTTTCAGTGCCCAGGCAGGATTTCTGGCGGAGGGCTGCTGTGGGCTGCGGGAACATCCAGTGGAGAGAGACGGCTGGTAGAGGCGGCGGAGGTGGAGTGCCGAAAGGAGGGTTACGAGAGCGCGATGGGGAGTTTTTTCATTTGTTCAACAATTGTATCGAATGCCACGTGTGCCGGGCACTGTCCTGGGCACTGCAGGGGTAACACAGAGCTGCAGGTGAGGTCCCTGTCCTCGTGGAGCTTACCTTCCTACCCACAGAGACAGCCAGTGGGTGAGCGTACAGTGCATGTAGCGCCAGACACGGTGACAGGGTGGGTGTGCGGGGGTGAGCAGAGAGCTGGCAGCGGGGCGCAGTGTGCCTTTGGAACAGGAGACTAGTGAGGGTCTCTCTGGGGACTGTCATTGGAACCGTGGCTGACAAGAGACCCTCAGGTGTCCATCTGGGGGAAGAGCGAGGCAGAGTGTTCTGGACAGAGGGACCTACAGTGCACAGGCTGCAGAGTGAAGGGGGACCACAGGGTTGCAGGGGAGGCCCAGATGGAGCCAGGTCCTAAGTCTTTTAAGTTCTTGGGTCATGACCCAGCACTTGGGCGTTCTTGTTCCCGGCGGGGGAATCCAGCTAAGGGTGCCCTGCACTGGCTGCTGTGTGGACTTGAGGGTGTCAAGTGAGGGGGCAGGTGGACCACCAAGGAGACGGGGCGGTAGTATGGACACACGTGATGGTGGAGGGAACCAGGGTGGGAGCGAAGAAGATGGTCCTCTGAGAGAATTACTCGGACTCCCAGACCACAGCAGACACGGCTCACCTCACTTCACAGAAAATGCGCTCAGAAACGAGGGTGAAGTGGGCGTTCGGCAGGGAAAACAGAGGCACAGGCTCATGTCATCTCCTTGATTAAGGGTTTAACACGTGGTGTCCAGAACAGTCGCTACACGTGGCTCTTTAAATTGTACTTCTCAGTCACACCGACCACAGTGCTGGAAAGCGTGTGTGGCCGGCGGCCCCTCCGTTGGACAATGCAGGCGCGTGTCCGTCACCAGTGAAGGGCTGGTTTACTGGCATCGGTCCCGTTTTTGGAGTCAGATTAAAACCAGATCGGAAGCGCTTTACTGTGACGGAGGTTAACGTGCCTGCAGGAGGGCTGACCGTGAAGGAGGGGGCTGCATGGCTGAGCTGGTGCGCGGCACAGTCGTTCAGAATGAAACAGAGAGAACACGACCGCCGGAGCCGACGGAACTTCTCTCTGCGGCCTGGCTTAGCCATGGGGCCTTCCCAGCGCATTTCTGTACGAGCGGGCCCTGGTGACCACGTGCTCCGACAGCACTTGGGAGTTGTTGACCAGACTTTTCAAAATTCAGCTGTACATTCATGTTCCTTGAGCTTTGAAACATGTGGCTTCTCAGTTCTCGAGCACGTGATCTATGGGCTTCGCTCCTGCTGTCACGCTGGGTGCGGTGTGTGCCCAGTGGGCCTCTTCTCCCATTTCCGGTTTTCTGCCTTCCCTTCTCTCTGCAGCCCCCGAGTGACTGCTTCCCAGTGGAACATTCTTACCTGTGGTGGGTTGGGGGGCTGAGGAATTTGTTCTTACCCCAATTACATGCTTATTTCTAATAGAGTGTGACCATGATCATTTTTTTCCTACTGGCTTTTACTTCTGTTGAATACAATTTTACTACCTAAATTAATCCAGTTGGAATGTTTTAATAAACCATGGTTGTTTTTTACTTCTGTGTATGTATATGTTTTTTTTAAACTAAAGATAGTTGTTTAATGAAAACTTTATTTTGACGTAATTATAGATTTACACTCAGTTGTGAGAAATAGTAGAGAGATCCGATGTATTCTCCACCCCGTTGCCTCCCTTGGTGGCTGCTTGCCGGACCGTAGTACATATCACAACCAGCGTGGTCGCACTGGTCCAGCCCACCCATCGTGTTCCGGTTTCCCTGGTTTCACTCGTGCTGGTGTGCATCTGTGTGTGGGTCAGCCTTGGGCACCTGCAGCCTCAGGCATCTGCGACTGCAGTCCTGACACAGGACAGCTCCTTCGGTCAGGACCCCCTGCCCTCCTGACATTTCATGACCACCATCACCTCTTTCTCCCCTGCCCCCGCCATCCAGGTATCAAGACTTCCTGCCTTTGGCCCTGGCTGCTGGGGCTCAGTGCATTGAGCGCTGGCCTACGAGCCAAAGGGTCACAGGTTCCATTCCCAGTCAGGGCACATGCCTGGGTTGCCGGTCAAGAGAGAACCATACATTGATGTTCTTCTCCCTTTCTTTTTCCCCTCCTTTCCTCTCTCTAAAAAAAATTAAATAAATAAAATCTTTTATTAAAAAAAAAAAAAAAGGGCTCCTTCCTTTGCGGTGCTAATACTCCATGGTACGGATGTGCCCCAGCTTGTGCACCACACAGTCGTCGATGGACAGACGTGTGGTGCGTTCACGCACATGTTTCCATGTCAACATAGGTCTCCATTTCTCTGGACAAGAGATGGAGTGCAGCGGCTGGTTCATAAGGTAGTTGCACGTTTACATGTGTAAAAGCAAACGAGTTTCCCAGAGTGTCTGTGTCATTTTACCTCCTGCCTGTAATACGAGTGGGCAGTTTCTCTGTAGCCTCGTCGCCATTGGTATTGTCACTGTTTTTTTATTTCAGCCCTTCCGATAGGTGTGTAGTGACATCCCATTGTCGCTTTAATTTGCATTTTCCTAATGGCTAATTATGAATAGCTTTTCGTGTGCTTATATGTGTATATTCTTTTTGGTGAAATGCCTATTCCTGCCTTTAGCCCATTTCCTACTTGGGTTCTTTTTTAAATTTTTGAGTTCTTTATGTATTCCAGATATTAGTCTTTTGCAGGGTATGTGGTTTGCAAATATTTCTACCTGTCTGTAGCTTGTCTTTTGACCCTTTTAACAGTATCATTTACAGACCAAAAGTTTTTAAGTTTGATGAAAAAGTTTATTATTTTTCCTTTTATATATTGTGCTTTTGGTGCCATGTCAAAGAACCAAGATTTTATAGATTATAATTTTATTTAAATCCATAATCCATTTTGAGTTAATTTTTTTATCAGTGGGGGTTTAGGTTGAACGTCTAGCACGTTTTCTCTCTCTTTCTCTCTCTTGTTTGCTTATGGACATGCAGTTGCTCTCCCACCATTTCTTGAAAAGCCTGTTGTTCCTCTATTTACTTGCCTTTACCTTGTGGTCAGTCAGTTTGATATATTTGTATATATTTATTTCTGGGAGTTTTTTTTAAATACTTCAAAAGTAGTCCCCGTGCATTATGACATTTTAAGAAGTTGTGAAATTAGGAAATGAAAAAAAATTTTATCCAAGATAAGTTCTGTTGCATTTCTGTCACATCTTTTGCTTGTGCCTTTTTTCCTGTTATTTCAGAAAGTTGACCTTGTGCTGCACGTAAAAATGTATCTTTCCAAAGACTTTAATTATAAATATATTCTGTGTTATTACAAATGTTTCTTAATATTATTTTAATGTATTATTTCTATAATTTTCCACTTTGTGGCATCTCTTTGCTGTTTAAAACTCAAGTTACCAAAGTTTGTTTTTGTTCTTTAAAAGACCTTTCTGGTTACTGTCTTTATACAGGAAACCTTTTACTTAATTACTGGGTTAAAAGATGTGGGGGAGTTTGGTGCGTTCTTTTTGATGCTTTGTTGCCCCATTGCTCCTGCAGGGTTTACCCCCTTTACATTTGACTGTTACACACCCTAGATAAAGCAGCACTGGATTTTGAGAATTTCCTTAAGTACCTTTTAAGCTGAATTTTCAGATTATTTGATTATCCTGTGCTAGTCCTAAACTTGATTTAGGTTGAGTGAAAATTATGTGAGACTCTTAGCTATTAGTACTAGATAAACCTGCATTCAGGTAGCATTTACCCACATAACAAATTTAAATTGGATTTTGTAAATAGTTATAATTTATAATCAAATGTTATTGTGGTTTGGGAAACAAATGAATTTGTTTTCAGATTGTTTTTCTTTAAAACAACTTTCCATATGATTATTTACTTCACACTCACACTTTTGCTTTGATTTTGACTGTGTGATTTGGATATTGTGATCATGGTGGTGTGATTTGGATGGTGTGATTTGGATGATGTGGTTTTGATGGTGTGATTTCGCTTTTCTCCAAACAGAAGGCGATCGACCTTGCGAGCAAAGCCGCTCAGGAAGACAAGGCTGGGAACTATGAGGAGGCCCTGCAGCTCTACCAACACGCTGTGCAGTATTTTCTCCACGTGGTCAAATGTAAGGCCGTAGTTTGAATTTTTATTTAAAAACACTGAAAGAAAATTCTACTTAATACGTGAAAATTGCAATACAATGCCAGAAAATTCTAAACCATCAACTTATGAAAAAAAATCCCACTGGCTTTCTTTTTTACGTCTAGACAGGCTTTTGGTGCTCAGCTAACGTGCACATGTCATTACGGTTATTACTTTGCATAATCGAACATACGAAAATGTCATATAGTCAAGGGAAACATGTTTTGTTTAGTGTACCCAGATTGTGTGATCTGAACCTACTCATATTCTAAGCATCTTTGTGATCTAAAAACGGGTTGGGAAACTCTTTTTCATGTATTTTTCAGTTCTTGGGTGTTTACCATGTGCCAGACTGTGTTCTAGGCACTGGGATGTACAGTGAGGGGGGAAATGGGTAAAAATTCCTGCCTTCATGTATCTTAAGCCTAATGCTGAACTTGGGGAAAATAAGATGTTAGAAAAGACATGGTAAACTTTTAAGTTACTTTTAAATAAAAAATTTAAGCGATTGGCCAGTTTAGCATTTTCCTTTGAGCTTTCCCATTTAACTTCTGCGGTTTTTCTGTCGAATTACAGTGAAACTAAGAGTGAATTATAACGTGGAGGACGTGGGGCTCACCCCACACGCTGCGTGTGGCCCGGGGGGCCCCGTTTCAGGCGGCTCTCGGAGACCTGCGTGTGGTGCTGTGGGGGCCCGGTCACTGATCGTGCCCCGAAATGAAGCTCACGTAGGCGTTCGTGGAAATGGTTCCTAGTGTTTTATTTCTGTTTGTCTCGGAATTGGTTTTGTGTGAGACAAGCAGCGTTCAACTCTCTGCACAAAATGTAAAGGAAGAGTGTGAAACCCACAGAAATGCTGACTGATTTCTTACTGTCCAAGCATTAAATGGAAAGCAGCCTCGTGTCTGGCTCAGATCTCCTTCTGAGTCAAACCCCCGGCCTGGGAAGGAATCGAAGGGAACTGATAATCCTTGGTTACGATGAGCCAGAGATGATCTTGCTCCCACAAAATAGGTTTTCCTTGTTTAGAAGTGTATGGAAGAGCTTGAACATGCCCGGATAGAACACTGATGGAGGACTCTCCCTCTTTCCCTTTGACAGATGAAGCACAGGGTGAGAAAGCCAAGCAGAGTATCAGGGCCAAGTGCACGGAGTACCTTGATAGAGCCGAAAAACTGAAGGATTACCTGAAAAACAAAGAGAAAAGACCACAGAAGCCAGTGAAAGAGGGACAGCCAAGTCCAGCTGATGAGAAGGGGTATGTATTTTAGAGACTAAAAAACCTTTACCTTCGGTTAAAAGATAACATTGAGTTTTGTTTGTGAAATCCATTTCTTCTGTTTAAACGAGGTGTTGATGAGCCATGGCTCATGGGCCACATATGACCTGCAGCCTGTTTTTTGTTCTTTAATTGTATTTTTTCTCCATTACCATATAGTCCCTTTATACTCCCTCCCTCCCTCCGCTTCTTTTTGTAAATAAAGTTTTATCGGAACAGAAGCACACCCATTCATTTACGTATTGTCTGTGGCTGCTTTTGTGCGGTACCAACAAGGTTAACAAGGGTAAGTAGTTGCAACAGAGACGGAATGACCCACAAAACCTAAAATAGTCACTGTCTGGTCCTTTACAGAGGAGCGTCCCCACCCCCTGCTCTGCCAGGCGCAGGGGATGCTATACCTCAAGCCACTCTCCTGACCACTGGGCAGTAGCAGGACAAACATTTGTGGGTTCGTACTCAGTTCCTAACCTCTGGCCATTGTGCAACGGTGACGTTTAAAATTACAGAAGTGGTCTGGGAATCAAATCTTTGATTAGTAGTATGGACCGTTAGTCTGTACTAATAACCACGTGGACAAAATGAAAAATGACTCCAATAATGTAAGTCATTTTTTTGGATACCTTATATAAAGTTTTTTGATGTGGATTTGCTTTTAGTTTGTTATTGTAAAGAAATCGACAGAACAGTTTATAAACATCAAAACCCAATTTTGGAATCTCTTTCCAGAGAGTGATGTGTCACTTACAGACGCAGAGTTTATTCTTCAGCATGTTCGCGCCAAGCCCTGTGCAGAGCAGGGAACATATTCTACGCAGATCCTCTGACCGTTCTATTAATTGGTGCTGGAAGCGGTTCCAGATGACAACATACTCTGAGAAAATGAGGTTCTGGATGGAGTTATGTGGCCCGTTGGGTTTGAAGGCAGGAGGCTCTGGTTAGCTCAGAGGATGTGATGCTCACAGTTCATGGTCTACAGGGGCACGAGCGACCTAGCCAGTCCCCCGTGGTCACCAGGAGTGGTGCACCTTGAAGGCAGTGTCGTGGGGGCTTGGTGGCCACTACCACAGGCCGGTTTGAAGGCCCTGAGCAACACAAGAACTAGGGTTAACTAGCTGCTTCAAACTACATGGGAGAGTTTGAAGAAAATCGTAAGCTCAAGGTTTTATATTCTCTGTTCAAGCCATTCAAGCCATGGTTCTGGGAAACAAGGATTTCTGTGACTCCAAAGAGCTTTGTTACCTTCTGCAACTGTAGCACTGACATCAGGAAAATCAGACCCCAACTGATATTGTGGGTTAGTGAACTTCAGCAGAAATTCAACTTCATCAGCCTTCTTTTAGAAGAGGGGGGCATTTATTGGAAGACTGGGACCCCAAACTTTAAGTGAAACTCTTGGGAAGAGTCAGTTGACCACAAGAGACTGGGTCCCCAACTCCCCTGAAGCTGCCTGGCCAGCAGAACATCCTCTCCTCCCTGAGAGCGGCGGCTCTCCTGGTCCCCCTTGAAGCCCCGAGAGTGCTGTCTACTGAGGTGCAGCTCTCAGTTAAGCAGCAGGACCCACTTTGGCTAATTTAAGCAAGGTAGAGTTTAGTATAGTGTATTACCTTACAGAATTTGGGGGCCAGGGAATGAAGCTTGGGTTCCATGTGTGTAGGAGAAATACCCAGCTCCAGCAGGGTCATTCTGGCAGGGACCCGCTGCTGCCAGCTGACTGCCAGCTGACTGCCGAGCAGTTCAGATGCCAGGGAGTGGGGGTGGGGCCTCCTCCACAGCCCACTTGGCAAAGCCACCTGGGGGTGAAGCCAGTGCTCCCGCACCCAGGTGGCATCCTGCATGCAGATCTCAGCTCACTGGCTCGCTTCCTTCTTCGGGAAACTTTGGTCTCAGGTGGAGCCCCGACTGCAGGGGAGCCTAGGAAGGGCAGGGTTCAGCAGTGCGGCCTTTCCGCACAGAAAACCTCGGTGGAAGGAGGTTAGCCTGACTGTCGGGCGAGCGGTTTGCCTTCTCGGCCTTGTAGCCCCTCCATCCCGTGACAACCATTTGGGGATAAACCTGTGAGGCTTTTTATCAGCCTTTATAGCTTGCATTTGAAAAACAATGTAATGCCCTATGTTTTGCTTTATCACTTTTTCGCTCAACATGCATTATGAGCGTCTTTCTAGTAAACTATTTCTGCAACATCATTTTTGTTAAGATTGCGGTGTATTCTGTCATATGCTAGTCCCTGTATTTGAACATATATTATTTCTGTTTTTCCCGTTGGAAACTGTGTGGGCATCATCATCCTTATAGTCAAATCCTTGAACTCATTTTAAATTATTTCTTCAGAATAAATCCCTGGTTATGAAGTCCCTGAGTTGACCTGACTGTTCCTTGAGCTCAGTTTATTTTCATTAGAAGCTTCATTTATCCTTTGGATCCCCCAGACTAAGGGTTATAGACCCTTGTATCTTAAATAACAAGTATTGGGTTTTTTCTTCCTAGTTATGACTTCTTGTTGTAATACATAGTTTGCTTGATTATTGTAGGGTTTTTAATTGTTGTTTACAACTCTCGTGTAATTCATCTGAAATCTTTCATAGGATGAGGTGTGGGGTATGCATCTATATGAATTAATACGGACTGAGGTGTGTTGTGGAATTGGGAGCTAGTTCCTGGCTTCATTCTGGTCTTTTTGCCCATTTTCTGTGTATGATTCCATATCAATGGATAATTTGCTATGTAATAGTTTATTTAACATATTTTTAGAATAATAAAATAAGCATAACTTTTAATGTGAATATCTTATTTTGCCACTTGCACATATTTCTAGTTAATCTTTCCTTCATTTTTCCTTATTTTGATAGCAGTGAGTGATCATTTGAATATATTAAATTCTTTTTATTAGGAATGACAGTGATGGGGAAGGAGAATCTGATGATCCCGAAACAAAGAAACTACAGAATCAACTTCAAGGTTGCTTTAGATTTCATTTTTAAATTTGCTATCTCATTTTTTAAAAACTCATAGTAAATTGTCTGTTTAAATTGCTTTCTTTCCCCTGTATCTAAATGAGGTTCAAGAACTGGCTTTAGTTCCAAGGGCACATGCTGGTTTTCATGGCGTTTCTTTTTAGGGTCTCTAATGGGTGTGTTGGTCTTTTTTTCTTTCCCATGCAGTAAAAATTTTGTTTGGGTTTGTTTTTTTTTTTTATCTGCCTTAAAAACCCTGTCCGTTGACCTATTCTCTTGTTTTTGTCTTATTTGCCCCATCAGAGAAGGTACCATTGAGACCAATAGCACACTACCAAATATGAGGGTGTTCAAATGCCCTGCCAGAGGCGCAGAATGAACTAGGACTTGCACTTGGCTTTTATTGCTGTTGCTGGAGCTTTTTCATTGATGGTTTATTTCCCGTCTCCTGCCTGCTCTTCCTCATCTCCTTTTTTATTCTCTTTTAGCACTGCCCTTTATCTCCTTCCACTTTCTGTTTTTACCTTTCACACAGAAAAAAAACCCAACAACTTTCATTCTTCTGGACTCTAGTCGAGTGGTATGATGGAGGGAGCCTAGATCTTGGCTCCATTCAGATCTGGATTTCACCCCAGGGCGGTTACGTAAACGATGGGTGTGTTCCCCAGCATCTCAGAGTCCGAGACCCTCGCTCTGAAACAGCAGTGAATAATACCTTCCTTTCAGGGCTAGTAAAGATTTCTGACGTTGTAAAAACTGCCTAATATTATACTTAACAAATTCTTGGAACTCAACCAAGGGTAGCTTTGTATATCTACAAAGTAATCTATTTAACTGCTGGCTTTTTCAGTTACTGAGATTGGGTTGTTTTTTAAATGTTAGGTAATGATTTTTCAAGTTGAATTTTATGTATTTGTTCGTTTGCATCTTGCCAAATAGAACGCATGACTGGGCCCGATTCCCACTCTATAGGTTGGTTGGGTTGGTGAACGGTGACTGTCCCGGCTTGGCCAGACCTTTAACCTTGCTGTACTGGGCTTTTCATTTTGGAATATTCTGCCCCACCAACCTCACTGGGATGAGTAGGAGACTCCTATAGGGACATCATCTCAACAGCACTACAGTTCATGAGGATGCATGTACAAACCCAGAACTTCAGTGGTAGATACAGGCCAAGGACGGAGCTGAATCCCCATGGCCATGCCTCTGCTCCAGGCGATGGGCACTCACACTTCGTACTCAGCAAGTTTGGGTGGTCAACCCAGTGGTCCATGCCAAGTGGCCTTATTTTGGTTGTGAGGCAAAAAGTACTCTTCTGTCCCTTTTTTTGAGGGGGTGTGTGTGGGGAGGGGTTGATTTGTTTCCCTTCTCTCCAGCCCCACCCACCCACCAGGTAAAAATTGGATTCTATCTTTAATTTTTTAAGTGATACAACTAAGTTTTTCATTGGGATTAAAAAAAAATCAGTAAGAAGAAGGACCAGAAGTGTATAAAAATAGAAATGCCTAAGGCATTTAAGTGAAGAAATTTGTTTGGAATTTTAAGATGTAGAATGTGAAGGAGCCCTAGATATTTTTTATATCTGAGAGCTCTTTTTTCCATCTTTTAATTTAATGGTTTGCTGATGGATTTCTATAATGTAATGTATAATAGAATATTGTATAATATATTTTTTAATTCTTTTTCCTTGAAACTTTTAAATCTTTAACTTCTTTTTTAGGTTATGGCATGAAGTGTAATATTTGACTGTTAAAGAGTTTATGATTTGAGTGTTCTGTTAGCTATATTTGATATTAATGCCTTTTTGACAAGTTAGTATAATAACTAGTATAATCAAGGCTACATAAATTTATGTAATTGGAAATAGTCAAGTTATTTGACCTTTATTTTTCAATAATTCTTCCCTCTTTAATTTTACAAACTATTAAGCAATGTCTAGTAATTAATATTACTTTTATTTAAATAATCTTTTATCACTAAACATTCTAAAGTCACCTTTAAACTTTAGGATAAAATTAATTTTGACATATTTAGAAAATTTTTTAGAAAAAACACTTTAGTTGACTAGATGATGCTGCTGATATAAAAAGTAAATTCACTTTTGTTTAACTAATCCTGTCTGATGACATAAACTATTTTCTCATGTACAGTTACTAATCTGAATGGAATGTAGAAAAGAGCAAGTGAATTGATTTTCTTAATTCATATTTAGTCTGAACTTTTAGATGCAAAATTATGTTTATGATTTTATTTAATGTATAGCTAAAGATTTTCATAACTTAGGGAAGTTGCAGAATATAACTCCTCTTAGAATAATAGGTATTTCCTAATGAGAAGAATACCCATAAAAATAATTTCACAGGTAACCAGTAGATTGTATAAGTGATGATGTTTTATTATACTTGAATAATACACATCACTTTGGAACAGACTGCTTAATAGTCTGTACTGGAGAGTTGGAAAGATAAACTAAAAGGCTTTGCTGATAGCTATATTAAAAGAAATCTCTGACTCATTGCAACAATTGCTGTGGCTTTTGAATATATGATGCTCAAAAACTGAATTATTTAAATAACTTGGTTAATGTGAAAATATTGTAACTAGGTCTGTTTAGAAGCCAAGTAGAAAATTTGGCAAAGTTTGGACAAATATTGCAAGTCTACAAGAGTACATGTTCTCTCTCTCCTTCCTCATCCTCTTCCCTTATTTCCCTTCCCCTCCCATCCCTTTTCCCTTTTGTCTCTCCATCTGTCTGTCTGTCTTCAGTTAAATATTACGACGTGTATTCTCTTTCTGTGGCTAAAGGAGAGCATTATTAGACCACCATTTTTTGTTGTTGTTTAGTTAAAAGGAGAAATCACCCCATTGAACAACTACTTTCAATACCCCAGAATTAGTGCTGTTATGTAATGTTGGTGCCTTTCCAAGCACTCTAATGTTTATTACGTCATTTGACCCTTACTCAAACCCATCTGAGTAGTTTGGGCGATGGTAGTATTTTTATTTCACAGTGAGGAAGTGGTTTCAGGAAAGTGACTTACCGGGGTTAGCTAGCATCCACCCCAGGTCTGACTCCTGCTGACTATGCCCTACTCCCAACTACATCCTCATCACGCTCTTTCAGAAAGGTTTTTAGTACAAAAATTTTTCCAGACAATTTTATATGTTTCTTTAACATCATTATTTCATGTTGTCTTCTAAATTTGATGAAATAGTCCTCCTTAAGGTTGACGTAATTTTTTGTAGGTGCCATTATTATGGAGCGACCTAACGTGAAGTGGAACGATGTTGCGGGTCTGGAAGGAGCCAAAGAAGCACTTAAGGAGGCTGTGATACTGCCTATCAAATTTCCACATCTGTTCACGGGTGAGGTGGCTTTTAAATAATCTGTTTGGGTAGTTTTTCAGAACTGCATCGGTGACAGGTTCAGCACTGTGAATCTTTCTCACCACATCACGAATCACCACTTTAAATAAATTCTAAGGCCGTGTTATGCCTTCATAGAAAGGGATTTATTTCCTGTACAAGTCCGTGTACATAGTTTTAATGTGGATACTGCAGAACAGTCTGAATGTCGCCAGCAGGCCGCAGGGCAGGTCGCCGCAGGCAGTGCCGTGCCGCGTGCTCACTGCATCCTGTGTGTCTACAGGAACGTAGACGTCGTAGTTGCCACAGGAGGGTGCGCGCCCCTGTTGTGAAGCTCGGAAAGCAGGTTATGAAATGCGTGTGGGTGATTCCATGTTGTTACATAAATGTGTGCACTGAGGTGTGGATGGATTAACATAAATAAGGTGGGTCATTTTACTCTTCCTTTTTGACTTCCTTTTCACCTGAGTTTTTTAACGGACATGCACTAGTTTTATAGGAGTATCTCCATTCCTTAAAAAGAGGAGTATTTACCATTTTTGGGTGACACGTGTATCCCTTAGAGGCGGAGGGACAGCTAATTGCACTGTGAGGAGCGTGTCACTAATCCGCCGTCTGGGGGTAGTTGGAGCTAGAGCTCCAGCAGCGGGTGGTTGGTCTGTGCCAGACCATTCCTTCTCCTTGTCCTTTTTGTGACTGGCAGCCTGTGTTTGTGAGTTGGCTGTACCCGCAGTCCAACAGCGAGACAGAGTTGGGGTTTTTTCCCTCTTACAAACTAGCTGGTTTATGTAGAGAGCAGATCTGTGCTGCTGGCCTCAAACCGAACAGGTCCTGACAGCGAGGCCGCGTAGAGCAGTGAGGGAGAGCAAAGAGCACGCAGGCCACCGCGGTCCACCCAGCTTCGAGGTCCGGCTCCCAGCCTACCTCCAGGAACGTGAACCTGCGGTCGGAAAGTTGGCGTCGTGGTCCGGTAAAGGTGCAAGTACAGTGAGTCGGCCTTGTTGTATATTACTTATGCCAGTGTTTCTCAGTCATGAGTCACTTGTGTATTATCCTATGAATTTTTTCATATGCATGGACCATATGTAAAAATATTATTCCTTAAATCACTCTCTTTGAGAGCAAATCTTTATTAAAGTACAGCATAAATATACAGAGACATGCAGAAACCCTAAGTGTTCGGCTTCATGAAGTATCACAAAGTAAATATGCCTGCACAGTCGTCAACCGGATCAGCAAATACTGCCAGTAACCCAGAAATCCGGCTGCCTCTTGCCTCCCAGGAGGCAGTCACTCTCCCAGCCCGAATACCAGGCATTGTTTTGCCTGTACTTGAACTTTTAATTCATCTCACTTTTTAAAGATTTTATTTATTATTTTTAGAGAGCGGAAGGGAGGGAGAAAGCGAGAGAGAGAAACATCAATGTGTGGTTGCCTCTCACACGGCCCCTACTGGGAGCCTGGCCCGCAATCCAGGCCTGTGCCCTGACTGGGTATCAGACCGGGGGCCCTTTGGTTCGCAGCCCACGCTCAGTCCACTGAGCTGTGCCAGCCCGGGCTCATCTCACTTAGTTTACTTAGTAACTTTATTTTAAAAGACTGCTTTGTGTTTACTATAAATGGAGAAACTAGTGTTTGTCTAATACACATGAAAAAGATAGTCATCTAAGTGCAAAGTATCTGTACACCACCTGAAAGCACTTCACATGCCCCCAGTGGCGTGTGGAACGCACTCACGGAACACTGACTTACTGCATACGTGTGAAATGGGAAAACTGAATTCAAGTAAAAGTCGAGGCTTTAGAAACAATAAATACAGCAGTATTTAGTTTTGCCATTAGTCATCTGCGTATCGTTCTTTTGCATGTGCTATGTACGCATCCACACTTGGCACTCAGCAGTTTGTTTGGTGTAGATTTGGTATTTTATTGTCAGGTGTAACCCAGCCTGATCTATTTTGGGCAGCATTAGAATTTCTCATTAGCAAAACTGAGATGTTATATTTTGGGAAAACTGGGGTTTAAGGTAGAGCCCCTGTCAGTACCCAGCTATTTGAATGAGAGTATGTGCTGCCCGTAGAGTAACCTGTGCTGCTTTGTAGAGCCAGGAATTGAGTAGAACTTCACAAGGGGTCAGCCAGACTGTCTCAGTTTCATTCCTCCAAAGGTCATAAATGTTCAAAAGAAAATATTTCCAGCTGCCTTTCCCCTGTGGGCTGAGATCAAGCAGTGCGCACAGTGGATGGTCAGAAGGGCCCTTTAGCTGAACCCTTCCCCCCACCAGACTGTGAGCCTGTGGAGGGCAGGGGTCCTTTTGTCTTCGTAGTTCTCTGTCTGCACGTTGTGGCTTCTGCATAGTGGTTGCAGGAGGGAGCAAGCGAATGAACTTCCTTTTGGAAGGATTGGTCGTGTAAATGCTTTTGACAAAGTGGTCTCGAAAAAGCACAAATGAAACTCATTTCAGACTCCCCTTTGATTTATTTAAAACTTTTGATTCCGCTGATAGCTTTAGAATGAAGACCTCTTCACAGCATCCTTCAGGGTGGATAATGTCTCTAGTACCTGAAATCAGCAGTGTGGAAATTCTCATGTTATGTTTTGCACGCATTTCAGGCAAGAGAACACCCTGGAGGGGAATCCTCCTGTTCGGGCCACCGGGGACAGGGAAGTCCTACCTAGCCAAAGCTGTCGCCACGGAAGCAAACAACTCCACGTTCTTTTCAATTCATTCCTCCCACCTTGTCTCCAAGTGGCTGGGGGAGAGTGAAAAGTAAGTCGTGAATCGGGTTTGGTTTTGTTCTCCAATTTTTCTTTGACTGGTAGTCACTGTTCACTCTGTTTCTTACATCATTAACAGACATTCAGAAAAGTGACAAGATGTAGGTGTTCATTTCTCTGGTCAAATCAGTGCCTCGCTTGGAGTTCATTTCATAGGGGAAAGATAATATATTTATAGTTTCATAAAGCATAAAATGAATTACCTGTTCGTAGCATTCTTCTTTTCTGGATCAAAACCTGACTGGGCCTTTTAATCTATAGCGTTCCTGTAACGTTGTATATTGTTTTGTTTTTGTCTTTTTATTAAGTCATGTCCTCTATTATTTTCTAGAAACTGAAAGTTTTTGTTTATTTTTAGGTTAGTTAAGAACTTATTTCAACTTGCCAGAGAGAACAAACCTTCCATTATCTTCATTGACGAAATCGACTCACTCTGTGGTTCAAGAAGTGAAAATGAAAGCGAGGCTGCCCGCAGGATTAAGACGGAGTTCCTGGTTCAGATGCAAGGTGCTGCCCCCGACCCCCCAGATCGTTGCTCGTGTGTGCCCGCTGTGGCAGCGGCGACGTGGGGAAGGTCCGCGCAGAGGTCGTGCACTCTGGACGGCTGCTCACCGTGCGGTGCTTCCTTCCGAGTATCTCCCGGCCGCTGTGGTCGTCTGGCAGGGTGTGCAGACGGCGAGGGGGTCCGCGCGCTCGCTCCCACCGGGACAGTGTCAGCGAAAGTGAAGTCTGTCGAGAAGTAGTTTGAAAACAGTATTAATAGTATTTGTCCACAGTCTAGGAGATTCAGTTCTTGGCAATATTTGCATCGTATTTCAGTTACTTGATATTTGATTGAATACAGTTTTTTCAGAAAGAGACTCAAGATGAGGTACTGTGATGTTAAACTGTCACATTGTTAGCAGAGCGTAGAGATGAGGCTTAATGAACACTGAAATGACAAATTATCTAAAATATTACCTATGTCTATGCAGGGGTTGGTGTGGACAACGACGGAATTTTGGTTCTGGGAGCTACAAATATCCCGTGGGTTCTGGATTCTGCCATTAGGCGAAGGTATGGTGCTGTAGGAAATATTTTTATCTTCCGATCTAACAAATGAGTAGGAATTCCCATTACATCTAGTGTGGAGTCATTCGATACAGCACTTTTTCAGTGTGCCCTGACCGTGTTCCACCCTGCCCTGGGGACAGAGAGGCAGGCATCTGTCTGCCTATTTGTTTGCTGTGTTGAAGACACGAGATTTCCACACACTGGAATTTTTCATGTTGGGAAAGGTAGTACCTGACCCTTTACCTGCAGTTTTGATGAAGTTTACTAGGCACTGATGCTTCAGGAATTCACAAATATAGTTTGATATTTCAATGAAGAACAACTTTTAGCAAAATTAAAATCATACAAGTTGAAGGATGATAACCAAGATAATATTTTTAGTTGGAAATGTATGTCTGCAATTTTTAAATTGCATGTGAAACTTGAGCTGCAGGCGTGGTATCTGTTCTGATGGTTTTCTTTACTGCTTCACAATTCCCTGTTCCAGTCATTTAATTTTGAGTGGTAAAAGTCAATACTTCCATTTTTGCCACTCTTCTCTCGTCCATCTGATAACTTGCCAGGATGCCAGATTATCATCTGGTACCAAGAAAGGAGATGTGCTGGTTATTTTTGAAGGTGGCTTAATTCCGAACCCGTCTCTAGAGATAATGGTGACTTTTTAGATTCTTCTCATTGCCAGAGAATTACCTGAAGGAAAAAAACATCTTCACAGGCCACTTAAATCTTTCCTCTCTGCTTTCACCCTGTGTCTAATGCTGAAATTTTGAGAGGGCAAGCAAAGTTATTGTTAATAAATGCAACATGGTGTTTATTTAGGACATAGTAGAATTATTTGTTCTGGATATGCCTTATAATAAAGTGGACATTTTGTGTAAGTCATGCTTATTCTAAAAGGTTTTGAGTAAGTTTCCTATTTTGAATTTAGAGAATTACTTTGTCATCTCTAATTTCATATTGTCAACTGTATTAATCTTTTGATCAGCAGTTCAGGTTATAATTCTATGGGAGACTGTAATTCTGGAGGACTAAGCCATGTGAAAAGACTGAACCACTCCAAACTAGTTCCCTGGCTATTTCAGTTTTATTTGTTTTATTTCTGGGTATTTTCCCTATTTAACCTAAATGCATATGGGTTTAACTCTGAAACATATGGGCCCATTTAACTTAACTCAGCTTAACTTTGTCAGCTTAACTTTGTAGAAATGAGAATATCTAAATATCTTGTTTCTTCTTGGAAATATCCTAATTTTCAATTGAAATATATGTAGTAATATTCTCATTGGATTTTTTTTCATTCTAAGATTTGAGAAACGAATCTATATCCCTTTGCCGGAGGCGCACGCCCGGGCCGCGATGTTCAGACTGCACTTGGGGACCACGCAGAACAGTCTGACGGAGGCAGACTTCCAGGAGCTGGGGAGGAAAACCGAGGGCTACTCGGGGGCAGACATAAGCATCATCGTGCGTGATGCGCTCATGCAGCCTGTTAGAAAAGTGCAGTCGGCCACTCATTTTAAAAAGGTAAGCTGCTTTTATCCGTCCTCTCGTGCTTTGAAATCAGTTTCAGGACCTTCATTGCTTTGTCTTCGAAGAATTCTAGGAAGGCTTTAGTTTTGTGTAATAAATGTGTGGACTCACATGACAGGTCTACTTCTGTTTCCCTGCAGTTAAGTTCTCAAAGGAGACTTGACTGTGGGTGCTGAACCCAGATGCAGCCGCACACAGGAGGTGCCCTGTGGGATGGTACACTTGACCCTTACATGACTTTGTTAACCAGTCACCCCAGTGATAACATTTTCAAAATGCTGTAGCAAAAGAGTTTTTTCATAGTTTATTAATTAGCCACCATTAATAGTCCTAAAATACATATTTTAAATTGTTCTATGCAGTGACTTCTGAAATACTTATTATTTTGTTGTAAGTGTAGAAGCTTAAGTGTCTAGTTATACCTCTGTGTAACCAGAATATCCTGGAGCAGAATCTGGTGTATCTGTGCCTCATTAACAAAGTAAAAATAAGAGTGGCCAGTGTCGTTTAAGCCTGACGTGCCTGGTACGGTGCTCTTCTGTCCTGCTTTTTCATTGGGTCTTCTTCACACAGGACAGGTACATGCAGCCACCTCCTGATGCTGCACTGGACATGTAGGTGTCAGCATGATTAAACTGGTACCTGGAGGCCGGCACCTGGTGCCAAGGTACAGCTAGAGAGGGGCAGAGGTGTGATTGT